GGGGGGGGGGGGGGGGGGGGGGGGGGGGGGGGGGGGGGGGGGGGGGAAAAAAAAAAGAAAAAAAAAAAAAAAAAGAAAGAAAACCCCCCCCCCCCCCCCCCCCCCCCGCGGGCCCGCCCCCCCCCCCCCCCCCCCCGCCCGCGCCCGCCCGCCCGCGCGCGGGGGGGGGGGGGGGGGGGGGGGGGGGGGGGGGGGGGGGGGGGGGGGGGGGGGGGGGGGGGGGGGGGGGGGGGGGGGGGGGGGGGGGGGGGGGGGGGGGGGGGGGGGGGGGGGGAGAGGGGGGGGGGGGGGGGGGGGGGGGGGGGGGGGGGGGGGGGGGGGGGGGGGGGGGGGGGGGGGGGGGGGGAGAGGGGGGGTAGAGAGGGGGGGGGGGGGGGGGGGGGGGGGGGGGGGGGGGGGGGGGGGGGGGGGGGGGGGGGGGGGGGGGGGGGGGGGGGGGGGGGTTTTTCCCCCCCTCCCCCCCCCCCCCCCCCCCCCCCGCGGGGGGGGGGGGGGGGGGGGGGGGGGGGGGGAGGGAAAACAACACCCCCCCCCCCCCCCCCCCGCGCCCCCCCCCCCCCCGCCCCCCCCCCCCCCCCCCCCCCCCCCCCCCCCCCCCCCCCCCCCCCCCCCCCCCCCCCCCCCCCCCCCCCCCCCCCCCCCCCCCCCCCCCCCCCCCCCCCCAACACCCAAAACGAAAAACCCCCCCCTTCCCCCCCCCCCCAAGGGGGGGGGGGGGGGGGGGGGGGGGGGGGGGGGGGGGGGGGGGGGGGGGGGGGGGAAGGGAGAAAGAAAAAGGGGAAAAAAAAAAAATTTTTAATTTTTGGGTTTTTTTTTTTTTTTTTTTTTTTTTTTTTTTTTTTTTTTTTTATAAAAATAAAAAAAAAAAAAAAAAAAAAAAAAAAAAAAAAAAAAAAAAAAAAAAAAAAAAAAAAAAAAAAAAAAGGGGGGGGGGGGGGGGGGGGGGGGGGGGGGGGGGGGGGGGGGGGGGGGATTTTTTTTTTGGGGGGTCTTTTTTAAAAGGGAAAATTGGAAAAAAAAATTTTTTAATTTTTTTTTTTTTTTGGGGGGGGGGGGGGGGGGGGGGGGGGGGGGGGGGGGGGGGGGGGGGGGGGGCGGGCCGGCCCCCCCCCCCCCCTCTTTGATATTTTTTGGGGGAACGAAAATTTTTGTGTTTAATATTTGGGGAAAAAGGGGGGGGGGGGGGGGGGGAAAAAAGGGTTTTTTTTTTTTTTTTTTTTTTTCTCTCTTTTTTCATATTATTTAATGTAGCTCATACATAAGACCTCTATTATAATACATACTGATTTGCTCATATTGTTATAATATTAAACATAGTGATATAAAATACCTCACATATTCCGGTTTTCTCTTACAGGTTCTAGTCAAACGATTGCCGCCGATAAGAAACCCAAAACCTCGATTGCATAAACTTTTCAAAGACTTTTGGCTATACTGCGTAGTAATGGGATTTACAGCAGCTGAATCAGGTGAATAGAGATATATTTTTATAATTTAAAAATTGTTTTGATTGCTCGAATTTCAACTCAACTCTCTATAGAATAAAAGCACTTTCCATTAAACATATGCACATAACCTGTGCTCTATGGTATGTGGACGAGTTAAATTGTCTTATTGTTATTCAAAATATTACAGTTTATTGTAGGACTAATAGTTTCAGACCAAAAACATAAATTTTTCTCGTCCGCCATCTTGAAATTATTTGTCTATACTCAAATTTTTATTATTGTCTCTTCTATGGCCAATCCTGTAGCTATGCGAAAGCGTGAGTAAACATGCTTTTAGAGTTGTTTTAGAATCCATGTCTTTTGGTTGTGTTGTTGTTCATGTAGTTTAAAGTTTTGAACATAGTATGGAGGCGAGGGGATTGGCTCCCAATTGGTTACTTTAAAGATATCTGGAATATTCTCTGCATTTTTACGTGTAATATAGATTTGTTTACTGTGCAGTAGTATGTGTATCTTCTATCATTGTAATTAATATAGGATAGTTGATTGAGTTTTCGCTTTTCTTTTACTGAGTTTAGCTATGTTTAGAGTTATGTTTCGAGTTGTAAGGACATTGAGCGTTTCATTAAACTTCAAATGAATTGATGAGACAATGAAATGTTCGTGGCTAGACAAGTTCTATAAGTTGTATTTTCGGCTTTTTGTAATTTCTATTATGAACTAATCTTTTTTAATGCTTTATATCTAAAACAATTAGTTCGTTACGACAATACATTTTCGAAATAGAATATTTCTTCTAGTTCAGGGTCGTTTTACAAGGATAAAAATTCGTTGTTTTAAATTAGATTAAATATTAAAATTGTCATTAGTTCATTAAACGAATATGAATGGACGTGCTTTTAATTTTTTTTGTACAGAAATCTCTTGTTTGAGTTATTCATTGATGCCTTAACCATTTATATTAATACTTTCCATTATGTACTAATTACGCATGTAAAGAAAAGCTCTCAGCATATTTGATAGAGAAAAATCCTAACAAAAGTTTTCTATAGGTCTATGGCCGCAAGAATGGTATGCGGGAGTAAAAGAGATAGCGGTCAAATCACCTTACCTTGTCTCACAAACGTCTTTGCGTTCCGAAATGCGAACGTATCAATACACGTCAGCTGTCAGAAATGACTCGGTGTCAATAAATGAGTTGCAAGAATTGAAAACGCAGATTTTGAATCTGTTAGATCATCAACCGGATGTTACAGTGATTGTTAATAAGTTGACGTTTGCGCCGTGTATGTATCTACTCAGCGTATATTGGCTGGAATCCTTAAGGTATATTTGATTTTATGAACCATTTCCCATTTCTATTTTATATTTGGCTATTTAGTAATTCCTGATCATTTAAATTATCTCGAGTACTAAGTAATAAACCTTGTAATAATATGGAATTGTGGATTATCGCCCTATCGATGTTTTGTAAAACTTTTTATTTTAGGGTGTCCAATTCACCAGAACCAAGTTTACAACCAATTATTGAGTATTTGAGTGATACAGCGCTACAGAAAGAAAAGAGCGGTATGTGGCAATGTGTTGCCAGGTATGTTATAACTATATTATAAACTAGAGGAATTATTTAATTTTCAATTCAATTGGACTTCAATTCAAATTTTGTTTATATCAAAATGCACATTTTAACTCTTGACATCTACACAAATATTTTGAAAAAGTTAAATGTATTTAAATTCAGTAAGTAATCTAAAGTCTGTTGTACAGGGTGTCCCGTGGCAGATTTAGGATTTCTTAATTAAATTAAAGAATGGTATTATTTTAGAATATACATATATTTGTCATAAAAAGAAAGACGAGACATGCGGATTTTATTTTTTGAAGATCACTCCGTCCAAATGTTTTCCATCGCGACGAACACACTCGCGGAATCTTTCGAGAGTATTCTGAGTGACGTGCTGCAAAACTGACCGAGGAATAGCATTCACTTCTCGCATGATATTTTCTTTTAAATCCGATAGATCTGTCGGGTTACTGTCGTACACTTTTCCCTTTAAATAACCCATAAAAAAAATCTAATGGGGTGAGATCTGGTGATCTGGGTGGCCATGCGATGTCCCCAAATCGGCTTATCAATTTTCCGGGGAATTCTTCGCGAAAGAGGCTCATGGTGGCTCTTGATGTGTGAGGCGTGGCGCCATCTTGTTGAAACCACGTATGAGAGCTGTTCGATGGATGTTCTCTATGTTTCGGTATAAAATACTCATTAAGCATGCGGCGATAGACATCACCATCAACAGTTACGGTTGCTCCACGAGAATTTTCAAAGAAAAACGATCCAATTATTCCATTGACAGAAAGAGCTGCCCAAACAGTTACTTTTGGGGTATGCAATGCTTTTTGGTGTTTCAATCTCGGGTTTTGTCCTCTTGGCGCCCAATAGCGACAGTTTTGTTTATTGACAAAGCTATTCAAATGGAAATGAGCTTCATCACTAAACCAAATGGTTTTAACAGCTCGGAATCGGCTTAACATGTTATCACTGAACTCTTTGCGTTCTCTGAAGTCATTTAATTTAAGTGCCTGTACCAATTGGATCTTGAACGGATGGAATTTAATGTCCAAGCTTAAAATACGGTGCACCGTGGTTTTTGGAAGGCGCAAACATGACGCTCGCTTGCGCACTGACTGGCGGGGATTTTCTTGCACACTGTTTGCAACGCGTTCAATGTTTTGTGCAGTCCTTGACGTTCGGCTAGGACCTGGGCTTGGCTCGTTAACTGTTGAACCTGTTGCACGGAACTTCTGGACCCACGTCCTAATCAAACTTTCACTCGGTGCTTCACTTAAGCGACGAATATTGTAGTGAGAACAAAATCTTCGGCGACCAACAGTGCACGATTTATTAGCTTCAAAATACGCTTCAACTGCGAAAGCGCGGTGCGCGCCAGTCCACTGCGACATCGTTATTGAACAATCCGCACAATTGCAGCGCCAAACTGTAACCCCTCCCTGGTCCCCTGCGCAACCGTTAGAAAAATATTCGAATTTCAAATCCTAAATCTGCCACGGGACACCCTGTATATCCGGAAATCAACTGTTTTTTGATAATTATTCATATATCCATTATCACTGAAGTAGGCAATGATCGGATTTTATATTTGCATTCTTGTTTTCAGGAAATCTTTAAAAAAAATGTATAAGGCTAACTGTGTCTTATCCACTCCAAATATTCAACAAAAATATACGTAATAATCCCTAAATAAGAGTATTTAATTTTCAGCGTTGGTGATAAAGTATTTCAGAAATTCTTGGATGTAATGTCGGCAAAGGTTAAAGATGAATCTCGAGAAAGAGAGCTGGAGTTGCACGCGCAATTTTTGCTAGTCAACTTCAATCACATTCATAAACAAATAAGGAGAGTCGCTGATAAGTGGTTGGCTGGACTTGTTGATAGATTTCCACATCTTTTATGGAATTGTCGGGTAAAGCCATACTTACATAAACAATAAAAATAATAAACTTTAGTGAATTAGAACTTGTTTTGGATTTTTTCAAAAACAGATTTTTGGGTCCCATGGTAACATTTAAATTCCGAATGTCAAATCACAATATATTTATGACCTACGGGGCTTATACTTAACGCTAAGTTGCGACTCTGAATTGTACACCAAGACATGCCGGTTCCCTCACGATGTTTCTTTTATCACGCGAGAAAGTGTAAATGAAAAGCAAAATTAATTAGTGCACAGGATTTAAACACTCAGGTTGAGAGTTGTACGTTTAATAATATGCAAAATATACGTGATTATAATTACCACTTGCTAGCATCTGTTTTCGTACTTGCTAATGGAGTTTTAAAGTTAGTTCCTTACTTAATAATATATTAGACAACCGTGTTTGTATACCAGACTGATAAAACTGCGTTAATAAACATAATTTTTTATGTAGGTACTTTGGTCGATGTTAGATATATTACAAGTACTGAGCTTCAGTTTGGACCTGGATGAGAATCAAGAGACGCCGCTACTTAAAGTACCCGATACTGACTTCACTTTGCAACTCCAAGATACGCTGGAAGGGAGAGAGGTATAAATTAAATAACAAAATATTAAAAATAACTCAGGATAAGATTCAGTAATGGTATGACTTCCGAATGTCAAATAAATTTTTGGCGCACGGGAGTCATACTTAAAATAAATCTCTACTCAGAATCTTACCCTTTGTAATGGAGTGAAAATTAAGGTAAATTTTAAGTGTAAATTACTGATAAGTCTCGTGTAAGATTGTGGTATAGATTTTAAGATACGTTATCAACGAAAAAAATTTAATAACACCAAATTAGTCCTAATAATATATAATAATAAATAAATTAAATACGAAGTAACTAATATAGAGAAACGAAAACAAAGAGGTAATGCATTCGATCCGTCGAAATCTAATACATACAAAAATATCCGAATTTAAATTGTATACATCATACGTAATGATTACGATTGTTACTTGTTCGTTGGGTAATATTTAACTGTCGGGTTAAATATATATGTGCTAAAATAATTATATGTTACAGAGTATCGTAAAAGACTTCGCGGACAGATGTCACGGGATCGTACAAGAGGCTATGAAATGGGCGCCGCAGTCCACGAGGTCACATTTGCAGGAATATTTGAATCAGGTACGTTATTATAAAGACATTAAAAACGGTTTATATTTTGTTTCTACTGGGTATAAGGCTTATTTGATTCATGTAAGTTTTCACTAAAATTTTATTTTATTTTTGAAACAGTTATTACATGAAAGCAAGAAGCATATTATAGCCTTTTACGAAAAATTGACAATTCAAAAGAAAAAAACAGTTCCTCAGATTTTTTACAGCATTCTAAATTGATTATTTATTTATTGAAGTTTACCACATCATACATAACACTATATTTACAGTATAGGGTATAAGCTATCTTTTCTAAAATATATGACAATTTTTGTATAATTGTTACAATTTTTTTTTTAATTTTGCTTATTGTTAAGCACATAAAAAATTATAGCAAAACAATGGATTAGGCACTTAACAACTTACAATAGTTCGATATATACCAATTTTCGGATAGTATTAGAACCTGAATTTATGTTTTTTAGGTTCCCAATTCGACCCTCTGGCATCACTGCGGACTAGCCCTTGCAATAAATGCTTTACTAGGCGCAGCCGGTCTAAATAGAATGTCAGCCCCCCTACCACGAGCGGCGTTAGACAAACGACCGCCCTGTGTCACGCAGGATTCGGCAGCATTACTCGCTGTTGTGTCGCAACGGAGCCGCTATGTTGGAGAGGTGATTTGCGTGATAGGCGGGTTCTATACAATCGTAAAATAACATTTTAACACAGTTATATTTATTTTTGTGTTGTTTGTTCCGCAAAATAATACACAATTTAATCTTTGATTTAATTCCAAACAGTAATCCCAATAAAAATGTACATATAATGAAGCTATCCTGCCATGTCTACTTTCTTTTTAGTGTGAAGTGATCTTAAATAACTTTGCCCAAATTCCTAGTAAGAAACTAGATTTATACAATTTAAAACATACGATCGTTATGCGCCGTTAAAATCTGTTTGTATTAATTTAAAAAAAGATTTACGTATTAATATATCATATATTCATTAAAGGTTGCGGGTTCAGTGTCAGCGGAAGGAGGTGGGGAAGCGGCCTTATGGCGCGTTGGGAGTCGATTACTCACAACATTGAAGGAAGCCTGTTCTAGTGGCAGTGAAACAGCCCACAGGATCGCTCTGTGGCGCTGCACGGCCCTTCTCGTACACGCAACGACGTTCTCTACGGGCGCTAGTTCTGCGTCGTCGACGGCCCGGGCTTTATTGCATAGTGTTGGTGAGTTTGGTTGGGGAGGTAAAACATATAAAAATAGTGAATTATTTAATAATAGATAATAATAATAATAGTTTATTTGCCATGATAGTGGTACAATTTGATTGATCAACTACAAAAATCCGCACAATCAGCCATATATAAATAGCCATGCAAATATCATATTCATTTTTACCATGTCATATAATAAGAACATTAACATAATGTCATAATAATAAGTTATTTATAATTGGTGTCAAACGCTACTTCACGCTATAAAGGCACCTTGCCTTTAAAAATTTAATCACCTTTTATTAGCTTACTGTGAACATTATGAGGTACATTTCCTCAAAAGGGAAGTAGTAGTTATTTGAGCCGTTTTGAATTGTAAATTAAAAAAATAGTTTTTGATTGCATGCAAATAATTAATTACAATTAAATAATCAAAGACTGGAAAAGGAGTCATTATAGTCAATAAAGTTCAGTTTAAATTTGAAAAAATTAATAAATAAATATTTATTATTATTAGTGTAACATAAATTCTATTATTATTCGAATGTTTTTTTTTAAATTATGTCCAATGCCGTTGCGTCTTCCGTGGGCAACTTCATTCTGTTTATTTTGTGTAACGGTGCGCGCGCCTCGTAAAATTTCACTCTCATCAATTTTTCACAACGCGCCTAAAGAAGTATAACTTCAAAAATATAGTTAATTGTATAATACAATCCGACCGTTTTTTTTCACTTACATAGCCTGGTCACAAGTGGACATCTTCACGGAAGATGCAGTGACGTCAGCAGTGGAGTGTTGGCAATGGCTGACCACGTCCAGACCGGATTTAGAGTTGAGGCTTATGCAGGAAATATTCGCGGCTTGGCAAAGCACCGTTGATAGAAAAATGGGTCTCTTTTCGAAGCAAATTACGGAGATCAGTCCACTTGCAGCCTATGAAGGTATTATTTATTAATGCAGCTTTTAATTGCCAATCATTCAAACACAGACAAAGTTTAAGCAGTTAGTATTAATAAAAGATGCTAGTTTTGGTATATACAGGAATATATATAGAATTTTTATTTAATTTTTAAACATTTTTTAAACAATCAAAAAACTTCTATAATTAAGAAAGTATAGGTCTAATGGTAGGGAGCCCAAGAGGTTTGGATTACTAAAGGAAAAGGGGGATACCTTGTACCCGGTTAAGTACCTCCACAAAATATGAGGCCCATATATAAGGCCGCGCGTGAAGGAGACAGGATCAGATTAGTAAAAAAAATTGACCATCAGAAATTCCGAGCGCGTCAGATTAAGGTAGGGTGAGTTAATTACATCCTAAAAGTGTATATCCACTATTGACAATTTGAGAGTACGGAAAAAAGGGGAGGGCAACAAAGTTGTAAAAAAAACGTCATCTCGACATTCTGAGCGTAGTAATTTTTCTTTTATTTTGAAGGAAATAATTCCAGAATAATGAAAAATATATAATCTGACGATTTCGCAAGCCGAAATAACAAAAATTCGTCGATAAAGTTAAATGCGTAGTGGTGATGCCTACATTTCCTTAAACCGATCGGAACTACTAAACGGTTCAAAATATTTCCTCAAAATTACATTTTATGCGATTGACAAGATTTTGAAAATTTTGAAAAATCTTAAAAAAAATAAGAAATATTTTTTTTAAGTGGTTTTTTATCATCAACTTCAAAAACTAATCCGCCTTTGAGCTTGAAAAACCACGTCGATCGCCACCAAGTGGTCAAAGCGGTTGATTTGAAAATTAATAAAGAAACCCGAAAAAGTTTTTTCGGGATTACTCCGAAATTGGTTCGATCAATTAAAATTGCAAATTACTTATGAGAATATAACTGTGAATGCGCCAACCGTGAAATTGTTGATCCATTCAAGTATGGGTTTGAAAATTCCAAAAAGTTTATGAAACTTCAAGCTTTGAGCTGGGAGAGTCAAATGCAAGAAATTATTTTTGACTCAGGTAAAATAAATTTTAAGCCCAGGAATGAATTAGGGAAGGAGGCTTTAGGTGAACCCTTTTTTTAGATAGGCGAATCCTCTAGATAATGTCAGATTATGAGACAGTACGTTTAGAACATAAAGATGAACCAATATATCTTAATCTGTGGTATTTCTTGCGATTTTTTTTTGCAAATTAAGAAAATGGTGGGCCCAGAAAGAATTTTTTGGACTTAACACTCCCTTAGAAAATTACGCTCGATAAATTTTTTTTTTTAATTTTCAACCCTTAAATACAACCACCCGCATCATGCAAACGATCAGATTAAATAGTACATTATTAAAAATACTAGGGCATAGATGTATATATTGACGTCGAGGATTCCATGCAACAGTTTTTTTACAATTAACTATCTATAGCCGCTTCCCCACCGATGAAAAGGAATTTATAAACATTTTTTTTCTTTTTATCAAGCTTTGTATCCCAATAGGAAGAAAATCCATTTGAGGGTCTAATACAAAAATTCAATATGATCATTTTTAGAACATTTGCCTTCTGTTCTAAATTATTGATATTTTGAAATATATATTCCATTCAAATACCTACTAACGAAACTACAATGCACGGTGACAATCTTTATTATTTGAAAGATTTTACAAGTCTTTTTATTGATGTTTGTCCACAGTTATAATATAAGACGTAGTGCAATCACAAAGAAAATGAGACACAAAAAAATCAGCTGCGAACTTACTGGTATTAACTAGGCGGCTAAGAAAAAGTGCAAAATTGTTTTTCAGGTGCCAAATTAGAACCACGTCCACCATTCGTAGCTCCGCATGCAGTGTGGGTGCGGTACTTGTGTGAAGTGGCAGAAACGGCTAAATACAACAGTCTGGAAAAAGTGGAGATGCTAGCCAGTCTTTTGCATAGGTGAATCTCATTTATTTACGCGATTACTAGGCGTTTGATTCGTAAAAATTTCGAAATGGAATTGTTTAGCTGCTTAATACATTTTGGCTAGAGTATATTTTTCCTCAATTGGTTACGCAGGAAATTTTCTTAGGCATGCTTGCATGTACATGGGGTACATTTCGTACATACGTTCGTCAGTTGTTTTTTTTTAAATTATTGTAATAAAATTTTCTAAATCATATTATATTTCAGAACTCTACCAATTACAGTGGGTGATGTGCGTGATCACATAAATAGACATGTCGATGCCGTTGGAGTACGATTCAAGTGAGTTTGTGATTTGTATGAAGAATATTTTACTTGAATATTTTCTTCAATTCGCCTTCGATCCAGTCTGCCAGTCCAAACTCTTATAAGGCCGGCATAGAACTTACTTAACTCCTGGCATTGTGGGTGTCCATGGGCAGTGTCTTTAACATCACGTGACTTTCCTGTACTATATAAGATACAATATCTATTCATTACATGCAATAGAATTTGAATATTATAAGGATTTATTTGTCAAGATTCTATATAACGCATTAACATTGTAAGTATAGGAAGGAGATATTGGTTTAAATTTTAAGTAGACACAATGATGACTCGTAATTTAAAAAAGAAATATTATAATGTTAGCTAGATAATAACAAAAGTTCATAAAATTTTCAGACTTCTATCTTGCGGTCTGTCCCTACTGCAAGGTGATATTCTGCCTCGATCTCTTGCCCGGAATATCCTAAGGGAAAGAGTTTATAGCGCATGCCTCGATTACTTTTGTCGAGGCCTCCAATGCCCTTCGAAAGGTTCCAGGGAGTTAAGAGAAGACATCATTTCTCTTATTAAATTCTGGCAACTGATGCATTCCGACAAGAAATACTTGAAGAGCAGTGATATTGGAGGTAATTGTTTTGGTATACAGTATATTTAAATATTTCAGGTTGTCTCCATTTTTGAATTAATAACTTTTTTATATTGTAGTGTAACACTTATAACATCTAGGTATATAAGAAAACTTGCGAGAGCAGTGGCTGAGAGCAACATATCAATAAGAGATATTTTCCAAAATAAAAGATTTCAATTAGACTAATAATGTTACTTGAATATGAGCTACATGATCCACATTAGCTTTTATTTACTTGTTTCATATTATGAGTAACCATGCTTATGTAACGTGAAAGTTATGAAGTCAATAATGAAGTTCTAGTAATTACTACCGGTATAAGCAATCTAAGTATGTTGACTGGCTTGTTGCATTCTGTTAAAATGCAGCATTTCCTCTACTTCCAAGTGATTTTGGGCGTTTAGTCTTTCTTATTAAGTAATAAAAAATAAATAACAGTTTAAAAAAACTAAAAAACACGCTTTTAAAGCAGATCAAACTAAAAAGTGAAAAATAATTCCTAATTTAGGCTGAAAATGGTAATGAACAAAAAATACTGGTATTATTGTGAAAAAGCGTGGGGCGCTCTGTGCCATATTTTTCGTCTATCGAGCAACCCGGAATTATTTTTAACTTTTTAGTTTGATCTGCTTTAAAAGCGTGTTTTTTAGTTTTTTTAAACTATTATTTATTTTTTATTTTTTAGTAACATTTTTTTTATTTTTTCGGATTATTGCATTGTATGACTTTACAGGTGCGCAAAATATGAATAAAATCTGTCTGTTAAAGTGGGTCAAAATCGAGTCCGAAGGAGTCGGTTACATACATACATACATACATACATACAGGTGAAGCTAATAAAACTCTTTAACAGGGCTTGCATGCCATCAGACAACTTATGTAATGCTCTACAAATATATGAGTTCATGCTGTTCGGAAGGAACTGGCTACCTTAACACAGGTACAAGCTAGGACGCCAGAGCCTCGCTACACTGTATCTAAAAAGTCCTTATAACTCTTTGTACGTAGTTCAGTACGTAGACGTGTACGCTCTTTAATATAATACAAAACAGTCAACTTTTGTTATAAAAGTATTTTTAAACATTCATATAATAAAATCATTAAAAAAAATCAAAAAAGTTGTGCACGTTTACGTATACGCAAGCCCTGTGACGTTTTACAATTTGACGTGTTGTAATAAAGTCAAGTTGAAAATATTTAATTTTTATTTATTTGTTTTCAGCTGACTTTGAACTTATGCATGGACCAAGCAACCAGAGCCTCTATACATCAAATTCGCCCACAGACAACAGATCTTCAGTGAACAGTAGTGATATTGGAAATCGACAGACAACTGGCTGGATAAACACTGTAAGTATTATTTTAATAGTCTGTATGTAGTTATTTGGTTACATTAGACAGTTAATAATCAGTTAGATAAGTTTAAAATATTTGTTTTTAATTTTAAATATTTTTATCCGAGATCAAAAAAGGAGGTAGTTGAACTTGTTACGGCATATTGTTAGAACAATATTTGAGTATGAGTAACACTTCCAAGCACATGTGTTAAATTTTGTAAGTGTTTGTATGTTTGTCCACGAATTTTATAGAAAACTAAGTCATATCGTGATGTAAGGAACATCAAGTATATGCCAAATGAAAGTGCAGTCTAAGTTTCCTCTAAGTCGTCTTAGTAATTTTTAGATATAGTTATTCACGCATCTCTGGAGGGGGAACACTATTGTTTTCCCTTTTTAGTTGACTTTACTTGAATTTTTATAAATAAAGTAATAAATCAGTGGCGCTACAACCTTTTTACGTCTGGGTCTCAGATTTCTGTATCTGTTTCATGATCATTTGTCAATCTCATAGGCATGTAGGTGATCAGCCTCACGTGCCTGACACACACCGTCAACTTTTTGGGTCTAACGCAAGCCGTTTTCCTCACGATGTTTTCCTTTACCGTTCGAGCGATTTTTAAATGCGCACATACAATGAACGTGCATTGGTGCACAGCCGGGGATCGAACCTACAACCTCAGGGATGAGAGTCGTACGCTAGGCCAACACTGCTTCAATTTCTATAAATTACATAAAAGCTATTATGTAATACGTCAAAATGAAAGCACAAAAGACTTCACTTCACTCTATAGTCTATATTTTAGACCATACATGGAACCATAGATAACCTTTCCAATAATTAAAATAACAAACATTATCCAGGTTCCGATGTCGACAACGACATTGAGTAGTGGTGCGGGCAGCATCGCTGGAAAAAGGTCCAATAGAAGTGTAAAGCCGCCAGCGAAGTCGCAAGATCCCTTCGTGAAAGATTATGTTCGAAAACGGAACCTTATCCTGGAGTTAATGGTATGTTAATAGTCTATGGCAAGTTAATTATAGTTTTTATCTAAGCACACACTTGTTGATTATATAATCTGCACGTCTTAATAGAGATAAGGCGCCGTAGCCGAGTAGGCCTGGAGTTTATATGTCGCGTATTACCTTCATTTATTTTTAAAGTAAACTGCTTTCTAATATAATATACTAACTCATATCTTAAAAATGGAACCAGTGGCACTACAAGCTATTAGCTCTCGGCCTCAGATATCTGTATCTGTTTCGTGATCATTTGTTTTTTTTTCTAAAAGGCAAGTAGGTGATCAGCCTGATATACGCCGTTGACTTTTTGGGTCTAAGGTAAGCCGATTTCCTCAAAATTATTTTCTTCACCGTACAAGCAAGTGTTAAATGCGCACATAGACAGTCAATTAGAGAACAGCCGGGGATGGAACCTACGACTTCACTGAGGAAAGTCGCGCCCTGAAACTAAAACTGCTACTTGTGCGGTGGCTTTTTTTGCGGCAAAGACTTGCCAGGCTAGCACTAGAAACAGCTGGAGGAGGCCTTTGTGCCACAAAGGCAAGCTGTACAAGAGGACAGCTGTGCAACAAAACCTTCTTAAATACCTTTTATATATTTTTTTAAACTTTCTCTTGTATTAGTTAAAATAAAGGCTTTGAAATGGAATATTGTGCCGTACTTAAAATTTTGTGTTATGTGTGATTTCTACTACTACATATAAAATATTTTTTCAGGCAGTAGAAATCGAGTTCCTAGTGACATGGCATAATCCTCACAGTCGACCCGAGCAAGCGATTCCGGGTGAGGATAATATAACAACGTGGAGATCTAAGCCCAATACAGAACGGACGTGGAGGGATTACACGAAATTGGCTTGGGAAATTAGTCCAACTTTAGCTGTGTTCTTACCTGAAAGGTAGGTGCGTTGTTGTATTGGCTCTTTGCTTGACGAGGAACTACCCTTCAATTTTGATAAAAAATTTCTCTTGTAAGAATTCTTTTAAATGAAATTCTACAAGTACTAACTAATATTTTCATTATTTCCTTAGGTGACTGGTCAGACTTGAGTTCGTATATCTCGCTCTTACAACTTAATTACTAACATTGATAATATTGATATATTTTACAATAATCTTCATACTCAGCGTAACTTTGTTTATCACCCTCTTAGTGAGGTTTAGGTTTCTATTTAGTTTTTAGTTATTTTTTATTTTGTGGTTGCTTATTTAAATTTTTCCTTTTTGAAATTTTTATGTTGTAATACAATTGATGTGTCTGTGTGTAAAATTTGTGATGTCATATTTTCTTGTATACTTTAAGCATATGTGTTGTTTTATGACTTATAAATAAAATAATATAAATCAAGGTAAGATATATGTACCTTGAGACTACGTGTTCGCGTGTTGTTCCCAAAGTAATGTAATGCCAGTGATGGCAACTTGGGTGTTTTCCCCCAAATTTAGGTGGAATCAAGATACCCTGGGGTTTTTAGGGAGTACTTTATTCAAGAAATTTAAAAGCGCACGATTCTATACAATTTATATTAAGCCTCGAACACAACCAACAAACTAAACTCCAAGCGTGACTATAACTGAAATATCAAAATACTCAAAAATCTGAATAACAACAGCAATTTATACTACTTAAATGTATTTTTCATGGTATGTGTGAAATTTCCCCTCAACCATAATACAACAGAAACTGTAGGTTTTAATCGATATTTAGTGGTATTTGAAGTTAATCCTAGAGGGAACATTCTGTAAGAGTTGGCGTCACTGGTATACTCCTATTTCACCAAGCCTTTTGCTGATACGTTAAACGTTTGTTTTTCTTATTTATTTAGTTTTTACTAATATAATTGACTGCTTAAGATGTGATGAAGAGCGTAATGTAATAGTAGCAGCTCCTTACATAACATTTTGTAAGTTGTAAATCCAAATACTAGGCGATTAAAAGAGATCCTATTGTCCGTTCTAGCTTCTTAATTTGACAGTCAATGTAAATTTAAAATCATATTTTTAATTAATTATACTAGTCATGAATAAACATAACACTATATGAATATTAAATATATGATATTTTGATTTAGTTTAATAATTAAAATATTGAACCAGGTTGAAAAACGACAGTATAGTCTCAGAGATAAAGCGTAAAGTCCAGTCACATCCAACGTCGGTGTGCCACGTGCCTCAAGCTCTTAAATATCTCGTCACTACTGAAACTCTACTCAATGATGCGCATGAGGTAATTATTTGTTTTTAAAAAATCTTGTAATATAATTTCAATTATTTTTTGACAAAATACCAAAAGTCATTTGTATTTTATTTTAAAAACATATAAAAAACTACACATCGTTTAATGTAACTCGGAAGAACTTTTGTATAAGTAGCAACAAGTGTTTAATATGTTATTTAGTTTACCTATAGATTTAGAAATTTATATTTGTTATTTTTGATTTATTTAAAATTTTACTCTTTTAACTAAAAATACTTAAGTGAAAAGAGTAAAATTATTATCTCTTTCGGTTACATTCAGTTGAAAAGACATTTTTTTAAATTTTGTTTAATTGTTTCTAGCTAAGGTCTAATCTATATTTATGCAGATGGAAATCTTAAAAAAAAAAATCTGAGCTCGAATACATAAATTTATTAAGGTTATTTTTTTATCAATGGACATTAGGGACGTAACGAATTCAGAGTCGAAGACTAGTATGACTCCGGTATAAGTCCGGACTCTCATGGACCTTTCAATACAATTTGGGCTTAAGAATCATGAGAAAAAACCCAGTGATCAAATTTCTTTGGTCTTTAATATGACTTCTAAATTTAAATAATATATTTAATCTTCAGCTCGTACATATGGTGACCTGGGCGCGAGTAAGTCCTGTTGAGGCTCTATCATACTTCAGCCGTCAATATCCACCTCATCCGTTATCTGCTCAGGCGGCCGTGTCCACACTTACGTCCTACCCGTCTTCGGCAGTACTGCTGTATATACCTCAGTTAGTACAGGCATTACGTCATGATACTGTAAGTAATTATTTTTACTAAATTATTTAAAATTGTCATAAGGTTTGCACGTCTTTTCAAATCAAAACCCATTACAATTCTCATTTATAATATATGGTCCTTCGAGCCGGATAAGAACCAATGACATATGGATATAGCCCACTATTCTAAACTAAATAAATAAACGTCAAATACTGTATAAATGGTAAATATAGTGTCATATTATGATTGCAATCTGATACTACTATTTTTTTCAGATGGGTTATGTGTCGGAACTAATAAAATCATTGGCAAAGAAATCTCAAGTTGTCGCTCATCAACTTATATGGAATATGCACACGAATATGTACACTGATGAAGAAATGCATAATAAAGACAGTGAGTTTTTTTCAATTCCCTATTGTTCGTGTATATAAAATCAACCTTACTGCGACTGTTTAAAGATGATTTTTTAATTTTATTTTTACGAGTAGACAGTTCATCTGAAATACTTACCAAACAAAAATGAAGTATCATACTAATATTTTTAAAGGACTAAATACGAATATACCATTCCTTTTTGCATTGCGTTTAAAGATGACGTTGACGTTACCTTAGCGTTTATAAATATATAATTAATGTCCAATATAAATTATATGCTTATTTGTACATCTTCCATCTGTATTTCCATATTCTAAATATTAATTAGTGTTTGTTACCATGGTTACCATATGATTGTAAATAATAGTTACTCTGGTGAAAAATACCATACTGACTACGTATTATAATACCGCATTTGTTTTCTTCGCTTCAAATTATTTAATGCTTATGTTTGTTTGTGAATGACTGGCTTTGAAATTTTTTGTACTTTTTCTGTACTGTGCTGTATATTTTTACTTTTTGGCATAAATTCTAAATATTTTTTTAGCCGCATTGTACGACATATTAGAAGCGTTAACCAAGAGCATAGTGGATGGTCTCTCTGGACCGGCTAAAGCATTCCATGAAAGGGAGTTTGATTTCTTTAGTCAAATAACAAATATTAGTGGAATCATACGACCTTATCCAAAAGGAGCTGAGAGAAAAGCGGCGTGTTTGGAGGCCCTTAAGAATGTTAAGGTACCATTATACTATAATATATATTCATTTGTATTACTCAGTTAAAAAATATAAAATTATTATATTTGGTGTTGCACGCGAATTGGTTTAAATCGTTCGTTATTAACTTCTGTTCGTAAGACCGTCTTATTGAAAGTTAACACACTATTGTATTAGTTCATTGTTTATTTCAAAATGATATTCTAAATATATTACAAACCATGCATAAAAAATAAGTTATGCTAATGGGATATTATAACAGTGAATAGTTAATCTATCATTGATAATAATTATTTCAGGTTCAACCCGGATGTTATCTGCCATCAAACCCCGACTCTATGGTCATTGACATAGACTATAAAAGCGGTATGTATTTCAACATGAATGTAACATTTTTGTTCTCTCCTTAGGTTCCTTTCATAGGATAAGATTCAAGATAGATACTTCGCGCATCAATAATGTTTTTGACATACCAAAGCATTCTTACGGTTTGCGCTAAGTCTCGACTCTAATTAATAATTTTCTGTGTCAACGTAGAAATTAGACATTTGTTGGTATAACGGAGATAACCAAGCTTCAAGGGGTAAAGAGAATTTAACAAATAATTAATTTCGCAAAAAGCAAACACTTCATCTATAAATTCTAGCTGAGTTACTTTTCGCCGGTACTGTGTTATTCTCAATAGCAATAGCGATTGCGATCACGACTTTAATGGTCGAAGTACGAAGGCCTATGGATTTTAATTAAATCGAATTTACATATATACTACGTAGCGGTCGATATCGCTATTAAAACGTCAGCTTGCATAGATAACATTTTGCCAGCCCGTTTTGAAGGCTTAACAGATATTTTTATTTCTTAAAATTACGTCGAGAATGAAATGACGTAATAGGCATCAATAGCTTTTAAACAATATGAACTTAATAAAATATTGTTCAACTAATTTATCGTATGTATTGAATGCGATGTATCACTTATGGTCAATTTGGTATCGGTAGTCATGTATCATAAAAATATATTATTTGTATATCTTTCCTTCCAGGTACCCCTATGCAAAGTGCGGCTAAAGCTCCGTACTTAGCGCGGTTCAGAGTAAGAAAGTATGGAATATCCGAGATGGAAACTGTTGCTATGGCCATCGCCTCTGGGGAGGACCCACCCACTGTGAGTAAATTACATAATAATAATTAGCTGCATCCCTATATATATAGCTTTAATCAAACCCGAAAAAAAAATTTGGCCGAAAATGGAAAAATTTTGGAACAATTTGTTTTAAAGTTGACGAATTTTAAACTGAGTTGTCGGGCAATAAATGTCACATAGTAGAAATGTGCACGCATTATCGATACTATCGACCTGCGCACGCGGGGTCTATAATTCATCGTGAGCATTAGCACTGTGACTCCTGATTGGTCGTTACGCGTACGGGTTGTTGTTTTTCTATAAATATAACATTTTTTATGATGACACACATTACATTACTTACGCTTCGTTACGCTATACGTTACGTATTGCGTACTTATCCCTTTATCGATATTCTTACGCACATCAATACACCTCTCTGACTGACAAATAAATATGATTTATTATTTTATTTATTTATCGAAACCTTATAAAGAAGTTACATGGGGGGGGCTATGTAACTTTCGAATAGCCCACCTTAACAATAAAATTACCCCCTGTGGGCGTGTGCCCCGCTACTGGGAAGCACTGTTTTAGATAGAAATTCTTTACAGGAGGAAGGCAAAGACAGGTACACATCAATAGCTCAGGAGACGTGGCAAGCGGCTATATTCAAAGTGGGCGACGATGTACGACAAGACATGCTCGCACTGCAAGTTATATCTCTATTCAAGAATATCTTCCAACAAGTGGGGATAAATCTCTATCTGTTTCCTTATAAAGTTGTTGCCACTGCGCCTGGGGTGAGTCGGAAATTTATATAAATATTTGAAATCATTTCTTGACATTATTAAGTTTTTACTGGAAAATATCTAATATATAAAAAAAAATCTTCATATTAATGCAGCGGAGCAGTGTTGGCCTAGTGGCTTCAGCGTGCGGACTCTCATACCTGAGGTCGTAGGTTCGATCCCAGGCTGTGCGCCAATAGACTTTCTTTCTATGTGCGCATTTAACATTTGCTTGAACGGTGAAGGAAAACATCGTGAGGAAACCGACATGTCTTAGACCCAAAAAGTCGACGGCGTGTGCCTGGCACAGGAGGCTGATCACCTACTTGCCTATTAGATTTAAAAATGATCATGAAACAGATTCAGAAATCTGAGGCCAAGACCTAAAGAGGTTGTAGCGCCACGGTTTTTTTTTCATATTAAATAATCTAAAAAATATTTTGTGAAAAACTATTGTTAAAATTTATGTTGATAAAAAACAATTTCAATATTGAACGGATATTTTAAACGAAGAACTATTTTCCTCTTTCTACGTATTTAGAAATTCATATAGAAATTATTAGGTATACAAATATTACATAATAACACAAAGTTTGACCTTTCCAGTGTGGTGTGATTGAATGTGTGCCAAATGCAAGATCTAGAGATCAATTAGGTAGACAGACAGACATCGGGATGTATGAATACTTTATTGCTACATACGGCGATGAGACTACTAGAGAATTTCAGGTACGTATTTCAATTTTTTTTAATATGACTAAATATCTCCATGTGTCCGGTCGTTAATAGAGATACCGTTTCTGTATTTTTCCCCAAGTCGGGTTTTTAGACTAAAATTTTAACTTTTTCTCCCACATAAATTAAAATCATAATTTATACATAAAATTACAAATTATTTTTTTATTTTATTTTATTTTTTATTTATTTATTGGAAACTAAACAGATACATCACTACAGAAAAATAAAATAAATGTAAAACATAAAATAAATACACATTGGACATATCCTCAAAAAAAAAGTTTCACTAATAAAAAATACAATACTAAGTAAGACAAGACAAAACATGACAGCAAAATTTAACACCAAACTAGACACAAAGCTTAAGATATTAAGAGTTTTAACTTATTCTTAAATGCATAGATTCGTTGAAGTGACGACTTTTTATTATAATTATTACGTATTAATAAAAAATGGGGTGTGGCTGTAACACGGCCATGCCTTGTACGTTAATACGTTTATGTAACGGGTTCGTATTCGGTATTCGTTTTTTTAACGTACTTTCACCCGGGTGTTCACATGGTAGATTTTATTTTTAATAGTCTCGGCAAATATCACGCAATTTTTTTTCTGATTGAAAAAAAAATTTAGGAAAGCGGTTCACCCTAAACGCCATCTCTGCAACTTCCCGCTAACTCCATACCTAAACGCTCAACATTTCACTTATTTTGTTTTAGTAGTAAATAAAAGCACGAAGCAATTTGTTTTTCTTTTTACAATAACAATCCAACGCGTTTACGTAAGAAACCCACGTTTTGAAAAATCTCACGTGAGATTGGGGGATGGGGGAGGGGGTTGAATAAAATCTCACGACATCTCACCAGGGGGGAGGGAGTCACAGAAAATTTAAAAAAACACCTCACGTAATTTATGGACGCCCCCTTAAGACGTATACTGCAAAAAAATGTGCAGGACAATGCCGTGTGAACCAGTCTTATAGTCGATAGATTTTGACGTCGAAAACTTAAACGAACATCGGAGCTTCTACGAGTCAAAAGTTAAAGCAATGGTAGCACATTTAAAGACATATTCACGACAAAACAAACGTTTACCTTGTAAACATAACGAAACATGAGCAGGCTGCCAAAAGTAATTAAATAGACTCCCGAGACTGTTATTATTAATTTCAAAATCATACACAATTTTCAGGCGGCACGGCGTTGCTTTGTGACTTCAATGGCGGCGTACAGCGTGATAGGTTTTCTCTTGCAGATCAAAGATCGACACAACGGTAATATCATGTTGGACACCGACGGTCATATTATACATATCGGTTAGTATTTCAATTTACCTTTTTATAGCTGTAATACAATTACAAACTGACACGGGACTGGATAAAAAACATTTGCAATGAAATGTACCTACATGTTTTTTAAAAGTCTCGTTTTAAGCAATATCTACAATCTTACTTTAAACTTCATTCTACATATAGAAACTTTTTTCTTTTCTTTTAATATATACCATAATTGTATTTAATGTTAATAGTGCAACGTTGCAAGTTCACATTAAAACATAAATATTTGATAATAATTTGTAGTAATGTAGTAATGTGGAATGTTGAATTCGTCCAAACTAACCAAGAAATAAAACTATCCGTCTAAAAGTCTATTATAAAACGTAAATAAAGGTTAATACCGTGTCTATGAATTTCCAAATTAACCTATAACTAATATATATGATAACCATGGCAACAAATATAGTACAACTATAAACCACGTTTTTCTTCTTTTTTTGTAGAGTAGAGTACTTTAGTTATAATGTTATTTAGACTGATTTATCTAGCGAAAACTATTAATATTTTTTTCAGATTTCGGCTTCATGTTTGAATCATCACCAGGTGGAAATCTAGGCTTTGAGCCAGATATTAAATTGACAGATGAAATGGTTATGGTGATGGGTGGGAAAATGGAAGCACCTGCCTTCCGGTGGTTCTGCGAGCTTTGTGTTCAAGCGTTCCTTGCTGTTAGGTATGTATTATTAGAGAGGAAATAATTAAGATAAAAAAAATTCATTCTTTCAAATTCATTGCAAAACTGTTCAGCAAAAGGATGATGATATTAAAAATTTCTTTCAGGCCATACCAAGAAGCAATAATATCTATGGTATCGCTAATGCTAGATACAGGGTTACCATGCTTCAGAGGTCAAACTATTCGCCAACTACGATCTCGCTTTGCGCCAAATTCTACAGAGAAAGAGGCGGCCGCATACATGCAATCAGTTATAAGAAACTCCTTCCTTAACTTTAGGACGCGAACATACGACATGATTCAGTATTACCAAAACCAAATTCCTTATTAAATTCATATGGGTTTCTACATTGCTGTATGGTATTAGTACTTATAAAAGGCCACAAAAGAAATACCTCTGACTGAAATGAATATGAACCGCTCTTATAGTGTATATAAGAATATTTGGAATATCGTCAAACAAATCAGAAGTATTTTCGAAAAGTCCTATTATCTGTGAACTAGTTGTTTTATGTTAGTCTGTGCTAATAGAAAACCGACGTGATATTTGAAATCGCAGCAGTGCTAAATTACCTTTTTTGTTTATATGTATACATAATATCAATACGAAAAGTTACATTTGACTCTTTCAAAAATGTTTGAATTAGGATCCCGTGTTAAAATTGTTTTAAGCGCATAACAGACGAAAAAACGATTCGACCAGAGATTAACAAAAAATTTAATTTGGCTATGGATTGGTCAGCCCCACGGCCCACGCCAATTAATAATTTACAGCCTCTTTAACGAATACTTAAGTTAAAAGGATTTATGGAAATAATAGGTTTTGGTGTCACTTACGTAAGCTATGACTGTTCTACCAAGTAACTATATACCTTCTCTAGCCATAAGTTCTGTTAGAATAGTTTCAGGACATGTATTTCAATAACTCGATATACTGGACATGCACTAAGCAGTTGGTACAAACCTTTCATAGTATCTTGAATATGCCCAGCTCGAGGAAGGTAATCCACATCAATTCTATTTACGTTTACCACCTACTTAATACTTACCTAATACTTTTAAACCATGTAATGTAAGGGGAAATCGAAAGAAGTTTTTACAAGTTCGAGAAAGAGTTGAAAGCCAACAATATTTATGGCTAGACTAGTTATATTCATATTAATATATTAAGATCAAGTCTTCAATACTGTAAGGTTTTATCGAAAGTCTTTTGCACATCGTAAAACTTTTTCATTTCAAAATGGAATATGAATAATTCTGAAAATAGATACAGTATTGATAATGTCATACCAAAATCATTTGCAAATTTCTGTAAAATTAAAAATAACTGATTTCAACTGAAAGATCGTATAGGATATACCTAATTTCAATAACTATCTGATTAAAGATAAGTTACACAGACATAATTTTGACATTGGCAATGCAGAATATGTCTCCTTTATCATTCCAATATTACAACAAAATAGTATTAAAGTTAATTTTTATTAGCAAACTTACTTAAGAGACTTAATCCGAAAATCATAAAGGGCTTCAATTTTATTATTTTTAAGTTTACGGCATATATTCTGGGTGTAGTCTAGTTTTAAATCTTTAATCATTTGGAACTTTCGCCTCGCTGTTTAAATTTTATAAGGTATGCAAGTTTATAGAAACTGTTTTCTATTTGATTCATTATATTCAAGATGATTGTAATGTTTACAAAATTGTATGTACTTACGCAAATGTTATTAAACTATGTTGGGTTCATAATAGATAAGGGTGATAGTATTTCATATCTTTGTCTTGACGCAAAGCATAGCTTTTTATGTTAAAGTGATAAAATATTACTTTTTGCCTTTACAAAAATACTTAGTTATTGGCTGCGGATTATTTTCTCGCTAAGAATTCTTAAAATATGTAGCCTTAATATAAAAAATAGCTTGGTTCAGTGGTTTATTCATACTGATTGCTATCGAAGATAATATATGGTAATGATATAATTTAAGATGTGAAATGTATGCTTATATAGGTTTGACAGCTAAACTTTTGTGTCGATTTTGACAAAATTTTAGCATTTCCAGAAAAGAGATAATTTTATAAGGAAGGCTAAGGGCGCCACTTATTTGTAGATACATTATTTATAGTTCCAGTTGTTGATCATGTTGATATTCTATTAAATTATAAGAATTACTAACTAGTAAAATATGTAATATTGATTCCTAAGTCGTTTATCTTGTCTTTTAGATTCTATTGTGGGCAACCCTGTTATGTTTCTTAATTTGATGTTTCGTGATTGAAACAAAGTGTTTATTGTTACCATATAACTATTTAAGTGATTTATTGTCATTGGTATAATTAAATGTGTAACAGGGTTGCCGCTGTGTATACCAATATTAATGTTTCGGACATTCCTCATATAAATGTTTAGTAAATTGTTGTTGGTATTAAATTATATATGGTAAAGGACATGGATTGTTTTATTAACTGGACTAGAAACATAAATTTGATATTGAGATAATCTATAGAGGAGACATCACAAATAATTATGTAATTGTCTGTAATCACAGAGGCGTGCAGGCGTGCTTCCATGCCCGCGTGGAGAGGTTAGGTAGAGTCAAAGATTACGTAAAAGGTGCGTCATAATTCGAAATATCTGCGAACTACCCCCCCCCCTTAGGTACAGTTGCCAAAGGGCGGCGGGGGTATTATTCTTGCTTTGGAAATGGCATTTTAGTGTTTATTGTACTTGTAAAATCATGTGCGTTAGATGGGTTGGGTAGAGTATCATAATTTTAAGTACACAAATAAAATATTTTTATTTTAGTATCTCTCCAGTAGTCCATAAAGCCGGGTTCGCAGATATTTCCGACGACTGGTACATGGCTGAATGCTGATATAATAAAAAAAAATTATTTATCACATGTATTTAAAAATGATAAATAAAATTCTAACTTCTTTATACATTTTTTAACTTTACTTAAATCTAATGAAGGGAGATGACTATTATCATGCTCTGGAAACTTTCTTGAAAAATCTCCTTTACTTCTGGCTTCTGTCTTGATTTTAGACTTGGATTTTGCATTAGAGAAAATGTCGATCAAATCAGAAAGTGCTGATTTTGTGTAAAAAAGTGAATTTTCTTCATTTGGTCCTTGATATAACAAAAATGTGTCATGACGCATAATTTCAAGACTTTCTTCATCTGTTTCAATAAGATCACTCTGAAAAGAAAATGTAGAATTTTGTTTAAAGAAGATGGTTTTGGATGGAGTTAATGTTAGTTTATTAAAAAAATGGGATTGTTTGAAAAAGCAGATAGCCTTCGTTTGGCCCTCTGTTCTTTCTGTGTATTACAAGTAAGAGTTTAGAATGAAACTTGACAAGATTTAGTGAGGCGATATATACATTAGTGACAATTTAAACAATTTAATGACCAAGCCTAATCAAGAAATGACTTAATTAGAGACCATACCTGTAAACATTTCTGTGACACTGCTTCCACGGCTAAGTCAGGTTCATCAAAGTTGCTATTGCTGTTTAAACTGTCGCATATATTTAATATACATGTCACAGCCTCCACTGGTTCAACCTCACCATTGAAATACCGCACAACAAATGAATATGCAGAAAGGACATTAATTATATTAACTCTAATAGATGGAGCCGGTTTAATATTCTGAAAGAATTTGTAAAATTTTATAATTCTACAATGATGAATAAACATGTATATTCGTCTTAAATAAAATATATATAGATGTTCTTACTCCTCGATATTATCAATAACAAATTAAGTAGTTAATAATAGAAAAATAAAACTTATTGTGTTCTAAGGAATTATATCAAGTAGTCAACTGTGTGAAAATTAAATAGTTATATGTTAAATATATTAGTGGATTAAGGAAGACAACTTACTGTTAATGAACTGAATTTAGGAACTACTTTAATAATAGGACACTTGTTTAAGATCTCTTCCTCATTATTTGGTTGCTGCAGATCTTCAACTAATTTCTTTTCTTTTCTATATGTCCACCAGGGCTCCCAATGAGGCACAATATCTCCTACAGTACTTCCATTTAATAATGATTGAAATTCATTGCGTTCATCATTAGTTAATGCACTCCATAAAGAATCTGCATCATCTAGATTAATATTCTGTAGTCTGGTGGGTAAATCTATTTCATTATCATCATCAGAGTCTAGGTTTTCTTCTTCTGGTTCCAGATCCTCATTTTGCATTCTGTTTAAGATTTCCATCATTTTACTTTTGGAGTCATCATCAACTGTATTCAAAGCTAATTCTTTTTTACACACTCTTTGTAAAAGTTTTCTGAGCATTCTAAATGTCTATCTGATTTATAACAGTCAAGGGAGCAGTAAATTACTTCACAACGTGGACAACAATACTTGCTTTCATTTTTCTCACATCTGAAACAAATTGGTAATTTTGGTTTTACAATGTATAAATTGTTAAGTGTAAAGCTGTAAATTAAAGAACACGCAATTTATTCAATAGGAAACTTACAAGCCGCATAACCCACGATTCATTTTCGTACTATCTTCTTCAGACATTTTCCACTATGTATTTTACCAGATACTCTTGAATTCCTAAGAAATCCTTTAAATTTTCATACACGGGGACAACAAAGTTATTTGAATTTTATAAGTTCTAACCAGTCATTTTATATCATTCATTAGTATATTATAAAATTAATATCGAACCTATTCGTCACCTAACCCGGATTCCGGAATCGTAAAGCATATTTTAAATATTTTGCTATAATATTTTATAAGCCAGCAAAAGCAGTATATAATTATATTGTACTCTGTAGAGTGTAGACTGTAGTTGTGATTTGTGAATTGTGATGTTGTAAAACTTAAAAGTAGGGAGTATGGCGTATGCCATATGAGTGAGTGCATTAGTGACATTTGAGTTTAACAGATGTCAATTGACAAGTAACAAATTATCGATATAAAAATAACAAAATAGCGGGATTGTACTAAAATTGAAATATAAAAGTTAAAACTGAGTTATATATTATTAAGTGTAATTAAATTCCCGATTGATAATATGGAAGTATTTACTACACTGTTGTTTTTTATCAGAAGCTTTTCCCTACCTATTTTTAGAACCAGTTAAGAATATTCCATTGTTAATGTTGTAAATACATCTAGAAAAAAAAAAAAAAAGGGGGGGGGGGGGGGGGGGGGGGGGGGGGGGGGGGGGGGGGGGGGGGGGGGGGGGGGGGGGGGGGGGGGGGGGGGGGGGGGGGGGGGGGGGGGGGGGGGGGGGGGGGGGGGGGGGGGGGGGGGG